TGTCACGGCGGCCTGACGGCGCGCAACGGGAATGGCTGCGGGGGAGCGGGGATGGAGAGCGCCGCGCTTCCGGTGTGAGCGCGTGCCGCCCTGCGTGTAAAGCAGTGTCTGCGCCCTCAAAGAGCGTCCCAGTCCTCCACGTGGCGCACCCTACGCTACCTTTCCCGAAAGCCCCCCACAGCTGGACGACACCCATTGCTGTCGCTACTGATGTACAAACGTCTCTAACCCCAGTCTCTTCGGTCACCCTCACCGCTGCTATGGAATCTCTCTAAGTGCCGAAGCGCATTCATCTGTACCCCTTGAGCGTAAAGGTGTTTTGTTTTTATGACACAGGGCTTGTCTGTAGAGCTGTGGCTGTCCTGGAACTCGCTCTGTAGACCAGGATGGCCTCAAACTCACAGAGATCCGCCTGCCTCTGCCTCCCCTGAGTGCTGGGATTACACGCATGCCACCGTACTCAGGCGTGTGCGGCATGACAGCCACTTCAGAGTGTTCCCATTGCTTCCCAACAGTCTGCCTACGCCACCGATTATAAAATGGTCCTCAGAAGTGTCTAAACTATATATTGTTGGTGGATGTGCAGCAAAGCCACAAAAATACAATAAATTATTATAGAAAGCTCTTGCTTGAGTCTGTACCAAGCAATATTTTAAGTGATTTTAGTAGCTCACTTAATCCTCACAATAATTCATGAGTAGGTACCTTTTACTATGCCCATTTTTCAGAGGCATAAACTAAGGTCAGTATAAACAAAGTAGCTTGCTTCAAGTGACAGTTCGTAATTATCAGAACCAAGACCAAAACCAGGCCATAATAAGCCTTATTCATATTAGGAGTGCTGTAGCTCAGCTCAGCTGCCTAGTATTTGTTGTCAGCACCCAGGAGGTAGAGGCAAGAGGATCAGAAATTCAAGGTCATTTCAGGCTACAAGTTAGGTTGAGGCCAGCCTGGGCTCTATAAGACATTCTCTGTCCAAAAATAAAAAGACAGAGCTGGGCTTGTGGCTTCGTTGGTAGAAGACTTGCGTGTCATGAAGTTGTGGGTTTGATCACCAACACTACATGAGCAGATTTGGGTGGTGCCTGTAATAGGGAGGTGGGGACCAGAGGATTGGAAGTTCAAAAGTCATCCTTGGTTTTATAGTGACTTGTAGGTCAACCTGAAATGCATTCTTTTTTTTTTTTTTTTTAATTGTGGGATTGGGGGAGGGAGAGAAAATGCATGCCACGTGTCTGCTGACCCCATAGAGGCCAAAAGAGGGCATTGGATCTCCTAGGGCTGGAATTGGAGGTGATTGAGGGCCCCCTGTGTGAGCACTGGGAACTGAGCCCAGGTCTCATGCAGAAGCAGCAGGAGCTGAGACTCTTAACCCTGAGCCACCTCTCAGCCCCTTGGGATATATCTTTTAAATCTTTTAGTTAGTTAGTTAGTTATCCGTTTGTTTATTGCTGAATGAATAGGAATCTGTGTTTAAGATGTGTCTTTTTCTCTGGGCTTTTCAGTTTGCACTTGGCTCGGTAGTGGCAGTTACCAAGGCATCCGGGGGCCTGCCACAGTTTGGCGATGAGTATGATTTTTACCGAAGTTTTCCTGCCTTCCAGGCATTTTGTGAAACTCAAGGAGACAGGTTGCTTCAGTGGTAAGTTTATTTTATTTGTTGAAAGAAAAAAAAGAGAGATAATTTTTCCTGAGAGTCGCATACCTCAGTGGTAGGGAAATAATGAGCATGATGGGATCCCTAGATCTGAACCTCAGTACCAACCAACAACAACAACAAAAAAAAAAAAAGGACCAGCTGAATGCCAATAACCAGAATGGATATAAGCAAGGATAATCACATTGTTGGGGGAAAATATCAGCTCACTCCAGAGCCCTGACCAGCCTAGAACTTGCTGTACAGACCAAGCTAGCCTTGAAAATCTTTTAATTTAGGTTTGTTTTATTTAAGTTTAATGTTAATTCCATGCTGTGTTTTAGTATAAAGGATGGAAGCGTAATATATTTGGCAATTTTAAGAGATTAACCTTCATCTACCTCCTGAGTGCTAAAGTAATAATGTGAGCCATCACACCCTACATGATCTGTGATTGCTAAAAATTAAGGGCCACAAGATGACTCATTGGGTAAAAGGCACCTAACACCAAGCCAGATGACCTGAGTTCAGCCCCCGAGACTCGTGGGGAAGGCGAGAACTCACTCTAGCAAGTTGCCTTCTGACCTTTACACATGGGCAGAGGCACTCACACATATACGCACAAAATATTTATTTGTTTGTTTATTTAAAAAGTCTTTCCTGGGTATGGTGGCTCATATCTTTAATCCCAGCACTTGAGAGGCAGAGGCAGGTGGATCTCTGAGTTCAAGGCCAGCCTGGTCTATAGAGTAAATAGTACAGCCAGAGCTACTGTTTCTCATCAGTTAATTGTTGGGGGACATTACCTTGATGCTGTTATTTTATTGAGAAAAGGTTTAACTCACTAAATAGCCGATGTTGGCTTCAAACTCACTGTGGCCCAAGCCTTCCAAGAAACCAGTATCACAGGCCTGCACCACCAGGCCTGGCTTTGGCTCTTGTCCCTTAAAGGTTGCTGTGAGGATGTGCATTTGATTTTTACCATCGTATAGGGTACTGGGATCCGTGTGAGCCAAGCCATCTGGGGTGTTTTCCCAGACTGTAGATTGGTGGCGTAAAAGCACGCGTGCTGACCTTTGTTCTCCTTCAGCATGAGTAGGGTAATGCAGTACCACGGGTGTCGCAGCAACATCAGAGATCGAAGTAAAGTGACTGAATTGGAAGACAAGTTCGACTTACTGGTTGATACCAATGATGTGATTTTGGAGAGAGTGGTGAGTGTTTCCCTGTCCACATAAGTGAACTAACAAATATAAAACTCAACTATTAAAATGCAAGGAGAAACCCCAGCATTGTGGAAAAGGAAATGAGTGTAGCCAGGCCTAGTGGCCATGCCTGTATTTCAACACTAGGGAAACAAAGGCATATGGATCTCTGTGAGTTCCAGGCCAGCCTGCGAGTAAGACCTAATTATTTTTAATTATGTGTATGGGTATGTGCACCTGAATGCCGGTGTCCATGGAGACCAGAGGTCTTGGGTCCACTGGAGCTAGAGTTATAGACAGCTCTGACCCACCTAATGTAGGTGTTAGGGTAGAATGCTAATTCTCTGTAAGAGCCAGGCGGGGTCTCTCCAGCCCTTATCCATGCTTTCCAAAAAGATTGAACTTTTTAGCTCTGGAGGGATGGATCAGCAGTTAAAAGCACTGGCTGCTCTTCAAGAGGACCCAGGTTCAATCCCCAGCACCCACATGGCAGCTCATGACTGTCTATAACTCTTACTCCAGGGAATCCAACACCCTCACACAGATATACATGCAAGCAAAACACCAATATACATAACATAAAGATAAATCATTTATAAAAGCTTAAATTTTAATTGGCAAGTTAAAATTCTGAATACTTACAGTATACAAGTAATATTTTGATGCATACATTTACCGACTTTTTAAAGAAACTTACTCATTTTTATCTTAAGTGCATTGGTGTTTTGCCTGCATGGATATCTGTGTGAGGGTGTTGGATCACATGGAACTGCACTTACAGACAGTTGTGAGCTGCCATGTGGGTGCTGAGAATTGAACCCAGGACCTATGGAAGAGCAACCAGTGCTCTTAACTACTGAGCCATCTCTCCAGCCCCTATCTACTCTTTCATGTATGTGTTAACCACCTAATTCTATGAGTTCATTTCTTGAAAATGATCCTAACCCAGTGCCTTGTCTCTTCATAGGGTATATTACTGGATGAAGCCTCGGGTGTGAATAAGCATCAGCAGCCAGTCCTCCCTGCAGGGCTGCAGGTTCCCAAAACAATAGTGTCCAGTTGGAACCGAAAGGTGAGGACAGCCCTGCAGGTTGCTGAGTAGAGTTCCTAGTACGGGTTTTCCATAGTGCAGGTAGCTGGGCACTCGTCACTTTCGTGTGGTCTCAGAAGCACACACCCCACCTACCCCTTCTCCATGTGGCATTGCAGTAACCTTCGAAATGTGTGGTCCTGGGATGTTCTTGTCTCCTCAGAAGACAAGCTGAAGTTTCTTTTCCTACTTCATCAAGTTGCTGTATTTTAGTTGATCCGTATGTGTTGACTATAGGCAGGAGAATATGGCAAGAAAGCAAAATCTGAGACTTTCCGACTGCTGCATGCAAAAAACATCCTCAGACCTCAGCTCAAATTTCGAGAGAAGATTGACAATTCCAACACACCATTTCTCCCTAAAATCTTTGTCAAGCCCAATGCACAGAAGCCCCTCCCTCAGGGTAAGTGGTGGCTTTGAGTCCTTCCATTTGACACAGAAACCTGGGAAGGAGTGGCATCTTCACTCCCACATTTCTTTTCCCAGAGGAGCCCATTCACCTCCTCTTCCTAAGCTAGAAGGCTTACAAGTGTGTGCCTCCTGTGTGATGGTATGCTTGTCACTGCTTGGGTCTCCAGCTCTCTCAAAAGAAAGGCGGGAGCGCCCCCAGGATCGCCCTGAGGACCTGGATGTCCCCCCTGCCCTGGCAGATCTCATCCACCAGCAGAGAACCCAGCAACTTGAGCAAGACATGTAAGTGCATGGGTCTGGCCTTTCTCCTCGCCTGTCTGCCTCATTGCTTTCATTTGTTTGTTTGGACACGGGGTCTTATCATTCAGACTGACCTTGAACTAATGCTTTCACCTCAAAGTACTGAGATTATGTCACCATACCTGGGCCTTCATAACATTTTTTTTTTTTTTTTAAAGATCCAGTATGGGTGTGTGTGTGTGTGTGTGTGTGTGTGTGTGTGTGTGTGTATGCACATGCACACACACATGTAAGCGTGCCTGCCTGTATCATGCACACATACGTACACAAGTGTAGGAGCGTGTGGAGACCAGAAGAGAGCGTCAAGTGATTCCGAGCTATCTGATATGGGTGCTAGGCACTGAACTTAGCAGTACATACTAACTGCATAGCCGTTTCAGGTTTGCCTGTCATCCTTGCACAGGGGCCATGCTGCTCTCTATCATTCCTCTTTGGGTATATGTGGTGCTGAGGGGAGCACCAGCCGTTTTGTTTTACTGAGAGAAAGGCTCATTTAATAGCCCAGCCTGTCCTTTAACTCACTTGTAAGGTGACATTTTCACAGTGTGATCTTCCCGTGTCTGCTGTTGTTGAGGATATTAAGACATGGTCTCATATGTCTCAGGCTGGCCTCAAGCTTACTATATCATCAAGGATGACCCTGAACTTGTGATCCTCCAACCTTACCATCCTCTCCCAGATGCTGAGATAAGAGATCTGTGCCCTTGTGCCCAGGTTTGTCTGGTACTGAGGCTGGCACCCTGGGCTTCATCTGTGCTGGACAAGCACAGTAAGAGCCAAGCCCCATCCCCAGCATATCATTTGTTTATACACATGTGTCTGAGATATGTATACCTTCTCATGGAATTAACCTGAAGATTTTTGGGTGTTCTCCCAGGTTTGCACATCCTTATCAGTATGAACTCGATCACTTTACCCCACCTGACTCAATGCTTCAGAAGCCACAGCCCCAGGTTAGTGCCCAGACTCGGTTTCAAAGTGGGCACCTGGGTGCCCGGGGAGGAGAACAAAGCATTTGTTCAGTGCACTTCCATGTTCCTTCAGCAGCTTTAGGAGGCTGAAGTTTTGGGTCATCCCTTAGACTAAGAACTCATCCTGTACCTTTGTAGGATTGGTTTTTAACATGATGCTTTTTGTGCTCCTTTCTTGGTCTAGTTATACAGACCTGTAGAGGAGACACCCTGCCATTTTGTATCCTCCCTGGATGAGCTTGTGGAGCTCAACGAAAAGCTCCTGGGTTGTCAGGAGTTTGCAGTGGACCTAGAGGTACCTTGTAATTGACCTTGAGTGAAATCTTCATTTTCCTTTGAGTTCATCTACTTGGGACATCTATAGTTAGCACTCATTTTAATCTCTTTTGTTTTGTGTTTTATTTCCTTTGGGGGGTGGGGAGGCTTAGACAAGTTTTGCACTATAGTCCAGGCTGTCCTGAAACTCAAACCCATTCTCCTGCCCAACTCTTTTTTTTTTTTCCTAAGAAATTAGTCATGTAATGTTAAAGTTATTTTTCTATAATTATGTCTATTTCTCTGTTTATCTCTTAACCTGGCTATCACACAAATAATTGAGACTGTATTATATTTGTTTAATAATAAGCTTCACAACATAATAACTTAGCAATTGGTACTATATTCTTAACCCTCTAAGCTAATTTGGCTTCTGCCCAGCATACATCCCAGAGATACTTGCTCTTTGCTCTTTGTACCTTTTCTGATCCAGCTCCGCTCTTTGTTGTCTGCTAGATATCTGTCAATGGCTGAATCCCCTTCTTCCTTCTCTCTACTCCTCCCCTAGCTGGCAGAAAATCCAGCCCTATTCTCTCCCCTGCTCAGCAATTGGCTGTAAGCTACTTTATTGATATATCATGACAATTGGGGAGCAGTGTTTATACAACATTGAGACGGGATTCTCAGAACAAGGATTGCAACAAGATATGAGGGGAGGGTACAGAAATCAGCACTTGAATTACACAATAACCTTATGCCTATGATGTAACTTCTATAGTACACTTTTAAAAACTAGTAGAGGAGGATTGTGGGTATAGCTCTGTGTGAGATTCTTCAGCTTGATCACCAGACTAAAATTTAAAAGGTGAAGGAACACCTACTAATCTTTCTCCTAACTCCCTTTCTGTATGGTTTAGCATCACTCATACAGAAGCTTCCTAGGACTGACCTGCCTGATGCAAATTTCCACCCGAACAGAAGACTTCATTGTTGATACTCTAGAACTTCGAAGTGACATGTACATTCTCAATGAGAGCCTTACAGACCCAGCCATCGTTAAGGTCAGCCATTCTGGCTCCTGCCTGAGTTGGGATAGCAGTGCTTTTCAGGGTACCATCTTGTTCTTTCAGCCTAGACCCAAAGGAGGGAGAAACTATGCCATCTCCTAGCCTGAGGTTCCACATACTTACCTGTTTAGCCCTAGGCTACCTTAAGGGCCTTTACAACGTAGCTTGTTACTATCCAGAAATATAAATCATGTTGATGACTATTTCGATGAGCCCAGTCAATTGGATTGCTTGAACTTAAGGATATACTGGGAGCTAATAGGGCCCCTCACCCACACCATGGCCTGAAGGTAGTTGCAGTCCTTAACAGTATAGAGTTACAAGCATAAAGGATGCCTTGGCCTCAATAAAAGGAGCGTGTAAAACTCCATATGTCCTAGGCTGGGGATGTAATTCAGGTAGCATGCTTGCCTAGCATATGCAAATGTCAGGGTACCCTTCCTACCAGTGTTCTGATAACCCTGAGGCGGGGCTAAGGAGACAGATGGATAGCCTAGTGTTGGTGTGAACATAGCCTTGGTTTTGTTCCAGGTCTTCCATGGTGCCGACTCTGACATAGAGTGGCTACAGAAAGACTTTGGCCTCTATGTGGTGAACATGTTTGATACGCACCAGGCAGCACGGCTTCTCAACCTGGCTCGCCATTCACTTGACCATCTGCTGAGACTTTACTGTGGTGTGGAGTCCAACAAGCAGTATCAGCTGGCAGACTGGAGGATACGGTCAGTCTGCCAATGGCAGAGATGGACAGGGAGCAGGAACAAGTCTGTAACTAGAAGCCTGGTCCAGCTTGGCCACTTTCAAGATAGCCAGTATTTCCCTGAGTGTTTCTTCATGCCAGATTTGTTTTGTTTAGTTTTGTTTTTCGAGACAGGGTTTCTCTGAATAACCCTGGCTGTCCTAGTCTCCTGAGCACTAGGATTAAAGGCGTGTGCTGCTGCCTCTGCTAACACTACCACCAGACAACAGAATTTCTAAATGTAAAAAGGAAAATGTGCTCGCTAGTGCTCTCTCTCTCTCTCTCTCTCTTTTTGTGTAAACGTGTTTCAGCTTCCCTCTGTCCCTATGTTCTTTTTTCTGTCTCTGTCCTGACTGCCCCCTTTCTCTCCCTTGCTACCTGCCCCCTGCCCTCATGGCCCACTCAGCTGTCTCTATTCCTTCTTCAAACTCCCTCTCCCTTTCCCACCAGAGGAGAAAACAAGGAAATTTATTTGAACCCCCCTTTAAACCAGAGGAGAAAACAAAGGAAAGTGTATTTGAACTGATGTTCCATTCCCAATATAAGAAGAAAATTAGTAACATTTGAAAGCCACTTTATTATCAACCCCTCACCCTCCTCCCAGCTTTCCCTTTTCATAGATGGGGTCAGAAAACACAGAGAAGCCAGGCCATGGTGTCGCATGCCTTTAATCCCAGGACTTGGGAGGTAGAGGCAAATGGATCTCTTGAGTTCGAGGGCAGCCTGGTCTACATAGTGAGTTTCAGGACAGCTGGGGCTACACAGAGAAACCCTGTCTTGAAAAACAACAACAATGAAAGAAAGCACTAGAGGTTAAGGACAGGTAGGTAGAGCTGCAAGTCACTCCAAGACCAGAGCATCTAATTTTAACCATAATGTTACTGCCTCCCCATGGGAAATTATGGTTTGTCATATTGAGCTGCTGAAGTGTCCTTGTACTATTGTGAAGGAAAGAATCTTTGGAATGAGAAAGGGGCCAAGAAAGGTCTGTCTGTCAGTACGTAGACAGTTTGGATGGCTGTCCCTGCCACAGTCATTGAAGCCATGTCTCTCTTGCAACTCTAGCCCTCTACCAGAGGAAATGCTAAGCTACGCCCGGGATGACACCCATTACCTGCTCTACATCTATGACCGAATGAGGCTGGAGCTGTGGGAGAGAGGCAACGACCAACCTGTCCAACTGCAGGTGGTGTGGCAGCGGAGCAGGGACATCTGCCTCAAGGTACCACGTCACCGAAGCTATACAGACCCCAGCACTTGAGCTATTTCTGATTCAGGTCTTTTGTTTCTCTTGTTTTCTAAGTTAGTGTAGAAAATAATGGGTCTTGGGGCTAGAGGGATGGCTCAGTGGTTAAGAGCACTGGCTACTCTTCCAGAGGATCAGTGTTCAAGTCCCAGCACCTACGTGGCAGCTCACAGTTGTCTATAGCTCTAATTCCAGGGGATCCAACACCCTTACACAGACATATATGGAAGCAAGACACCCGTGCACACTATAATCCCAGCACTCAGGGAGGTAGAGACAAGTGGATCTCTTGAGTTCGAGGACAGCCTGTTCTACAGAGCACCAGGACATGGAGAAACCTTGTCTTGAAAAACAAGGAATGGCGGGGGGGGGGGGGGGGGGGGGTTGGGGGGTGTTGGAGGGGGGGGGGGTGGGGGGGGGGGGGGGGGGTGGATTATCGTGGGTTTTTTACATATATATGTCATACTTTCTTTTTTTTCTTCATCCTTGTCTCCTGCCCTCCCTAATTACGCCCACCTAACTTTTGCGGGTCCCCTCATTTTTTTGAGGTGAAATGTTTTCATAGCAAATGTATATCATTGCTGCTTCTCCTTTCCCTCCAGATCTCTTCTCCCCTCTGATGGTCACCTATTTTCATGACCCACACATACCGGTATAAGTCCAGGTCCTGCATATGTGGGAAAGCTTACCTGTCCAGAATCCGGTTTATTTTAACATGATCTCAAGTTCCATCTGTAATCCTACTGATGTCATAATTTCATTTTCCTTTATGGCTGAATAAAATTCCATTTTGAGAGGCTGAGAGGATGGCTTAGTGGATAAAGTGCTTGCTTCCAGAGCCCCATTCAAAAAGCAAACAAACTGGGGTAGAGGATTCAGCTCAGTGGTTCCATTTTCAACATCCACATGCTGGCTCATGGCTGCCATTTATCCTTCTGTGGGCACCAGGTGCACGTGTGATGCACAGAGACGCAAGTAAACACGTAAAGTCATGATTTGCAATCTGGTCCAGGTTGGCCCAAGGCAGGCTGATCTCGGAATTCATGGCCAGCCTGGTCTATAGTATGTTACAGGACAGCCAAGGCTACACAGAGAAAGCCTGTCTCAAACAAAACAAAACAAAAATAATAATAATTTGCATTTTCCTAATGGTGATATTGAACTCTTTTTGGTTTGTTTGTT